AATAAACCATGGCCGATAAGTCGTCTGTCATTTCTCTGAACCAGGAGGCGATCCTCCCAACCGCTTTCGTGGCAGAGACAAACCCTACAGTTCTGGCTCCAAATGTTACTTGGGAAGTCACAAATGGGGAAGTTCAAGGTGCAAACACTCATGAACATTCTCTTACAGCTCGCCAGGCCCTATTGTCCTATCCATGGGCTGTCTTTTGGTCTCTGGTCATCAGCATGTCCATCGTCATGGAAGGCTACGACACCATCTTGATTGGCTCTCTCTATGCCTATCCAACCTATGCTCACCGATTTGGCAAATATGATGCGGCGACCGATACTTGGCAGGTGGAAGCCAAGTGGCAGAGTGCTACAGGCACTGGTTCCCAGGCGGGTGCCATTGTCGGTGCCCTCCTGAACGGTTTTATAATCCATCGATTTGGCTATCGGCCAGCTTTCATGGTAGGGGTGGCTTTGATGACGGTCTTCATCTTCGTATCCGTTTTCGGCTTGTCTGTTGAGCTGCAGGCTGTAGGACAAATCCTCTGCGGGTAAGTTCGGGTATTTGGTGAAGCGCCCATTGTATCTAGTTGCACATCTGAATGCCGTCTGACTTGGCTATTGCAGGATTCCATGGGGTATCTTTGCGACTATTGGCCCTGCTTATGCTTCAGAGCTGTGCCCCCTTCCTCTCCGGGCTTATCTCACTGCTTACACCAACACCTGTTTTGCGACTGGTCAGCTCATTGGCGCCGGGATCCTCAAGAGTTTCATCAACCGTGACGATGACTGGGCGTGGCGTATCCCTCTTGCTTTACAGTGGCTGTGGATTCCATTGCTTATTGTCAGCGCCGCCTGGATGCCAGAATCACCTTGGCACCTGGTCCGTAACGGTCGATATGCTGAAGCAGAGAAGATTGTCCTGGGTTTGATGACCGAACAAGAGAAGCCGCAGGCACGATCTCTGGTAGCTCTTACGATTCACACCAACGATATCGAACGAAGAATTGCTGACGGAACTTCTTACTGGGATTGCTTCAAGGGCATTGACCTTCGCCGTACTGAGATTGCTTGTGTTTCGTTTATTGGCCAAGTCACTTGCGGTGCCCAATTCGCTTACTCTGCTACCTACTTCTTCCAGCAAGCTGGTCTAGATTCAGAGACCACTTACACGTTAAACCTCGGTGGTACGGGTATCGCTTTTTGCGGAACTATTGCTTCTTGGTTTTTGATGAAACACGCCGGACGCCGGACCTTGTTTCTGACTGGAATGTCTATCATGAGTTTGTGGCTTTTTATCATTGGCTGCCTGGCCATCAATACCCATAACCCGGTTGTCAAATGGATGCAGTCTACCCTCTGCCTGGTTTGGCTTCTCACCTATTCGCTTACTGTTGGCCCCGTTGGTTGGATCATGCCAGCTGAAGTCTCGTCAACCCGCCTTCGATCCAAGACTGTTGTACTAGCCCGAGTCTCGTATTACATTGCACAAATCATTGCCAACATTATTCAGCCCTACATGATGAACCCTCAGGCATGGAATTGGAAAGGTAAAGACCATTAAATCTCTATTACTACCCTGGGTTGATTTTGCTGATAGTTCTTGTAGGTAAAACCGGTTTCTTCTGGTTTGTTTCCGCGTTTTTGACAGTAGTTTGGGCCTTCTTCCGTCAGCCCGAGACCAAGGGACGAAGTAACAGGGAACTTGACCTCATGTTTGAGGCTAAGCTTCCCACAAGAAAGTTTAAGGAGTACCAAGCTGATACCTACGTTGAGAAAAAAAGATAGACACATGTAGATGGGTAAGTGTGCTGAATATCTCAAAGTAGTCCTCAGATTAGGCTTTTAAACAATGGACGATCAGACGCACGAAGCGTTAAAAGGTTAAAGCGATTTCTCAATGCCAACTTCCTTATTTCCCTGCCACTGCCTCTATCTATCATGCAAAATGAATTAAAGACAATGCAGTGTAACACAATCGACTCTTTGTCGTTCGGTTATAAAATCAACAATTGGTTATATTTCGAGGCGTTCGACACGTCGTCCGCAAGTTTACGTGTTATAGCTATCATTGGCTAAATCAGAATTACGCTATTTTAGACGGAGTAGACATCAAGTTGTGTTAGATGATCAAGTATCTAAGTTGGTATATCTGTTGACAAGAACTATCCGGCATCATGGATTGAAATGAGAATAAGTTTTTCAAAGTCAGAATAGTAATAGAATTTGCGATCACGGTTGGAAATTCATTATTAATTACTAGGGGAAGGCATATATTTTTCTCCATCTGTATGCGTCCCTCTCGGAAATTTCATCTGTCTTGGTATTGAGGATGACATCATCGAAGTGTAAGCCAAAGTAATGGGCTGCGCCAACTGTCACTTCGCCGCAGTCACGGCCATGACTACTGTAACATGTCATGCTCATATTTTTCTTCCATACTTGCAATAAAAACTTATGCTACTTGCATAATTTTGATTGGTAAATCGCATCTAATATTATAGTGCTTTAGCGCAGACATAAGCCAAGGCCGTGTGACGAGGTTTTCTTATGTGCCAAGTCGACCCCCAATGGCAGTGAATGGAAATTCTATATAATCCGAGACATCTCACCTTTGATGAATCATTAGTCGTCTTCCATCCCCTCAATCTCTTTCATCATACTCCCCCTTATCGTTGAAGCCCCATTGCTCCAATGAAGCCTACCATCGCATTCGTTCCTGGTGCTTGGCACACCCCGAGCCACTACTCAGCCTTCCTGCAGAAATTGAGTGATGCTGGTTATCACGTCACCTCTGAGAAGCTCCCTTCTGTAGGAGCTACAGAACCCAAAGATCAGAGTGTAGCTGCAGATATGGCTATTATCCGAGAAAAGGTTCTTCTACCAGAGATTGAGCAGGGCAAGGACATCATCATGATCATGCACTCGTACGGTGGCTTTCCTGGATCAGCCGCAGCAAAAGGCTTCAGCAAATTAGAAAGAACTGCTGCTGGCAAGGCCGGGGGGATTATTGGCATGATTTTTATGTGCGCATTTGTGGCGAATGAGGACGAGTCACTGCAAAGCAAACTTCCAAACGAGCAGTTTGGGGACTGGATGATCGTAAACGTACAGAACGCAGACGCCCCATGTCTCGGACAGTTTCAACGCTGACTCAGTGAACAGGAAGAGAGTGGCCAGCTTGGCCTTAACAAGCCTGAAAGTGTGTTTTACAACGGTATTGAGAACAACCTTGTCGAAGCTGCCCTTGGTGGCTTGCAAAGCCATGCGCTTGCCGCCTTCACCACTCCTAGCCCTCCACCTGCATGGAAGGATGAAGTATTCAACGGACGGCGTGCATATATCAAGTGCCAGAACGACATGGCAATTCCAATTGTGGCGCAAAAGATGATGGTAGAGTCCACTGGATTGGACTGGCAGGAGTTGGACCTCGACGCCAGCCACTCCCCATTTCTGACCCATAGCGATGAGATGTGCGAGTTTATAGAGAAGCGTGCAGTGGAGTGGACTAAGTAGGATATTGCTACGGATGTGATTCTGCATAATTACATGAATACTTCGAGCATCTTGAGTTTGATATGGAATGAACTTTACCCATTTGTCTTCTGAATCTATACAGTAACCTAGTTTAAATCTTCGTTCTAGCAAAGAGCTCTCAGATTGAGCACTCTACTTCTCCCATCTCACGCAGCTGAGGTGAGATCTCGGCACAGCAAGCCGCTGATATGCCTTATATGGCGTCACTTACAGACCACTGAGAGGCTTCCATATTCCATATAGCTAGCGTGTCAACAATGTGCCGACCTCATCGACAGCCATCAGGGGAGAAGGCCCAAGTGAGGGTGTGGAGACGGTACAAATGCTCACCTATCATGCTTATTTTATAGCCAACTTTGGTAGTTTCATGCTTATTTTTTGTGAAAGAAAAAAGTAATAGAGGCTGGAGGCAGCTGACAGTACATCAGCAGAAGCTTGTCTCACCAATACCTCCGTTATCACACGGAGCTACTAGCAGCTAAAATCACGGCAGATCGCAGTAGCGAGCCAACTACTATGTAATAGCTGCATGGCTAGCCCAGCTATGATTGAACGCCTTGGATATTTGGGCCGTCAGAATTGTGCAAGTTGCACTATATTTGTACATAGTAATGCTTGGCACAGAGGCACTGCCAACTGCTCTGTTGGTGCCACCAAGAAGAAATATGTGGAGATTTTCGCAGAGCTGTGCCGCCGAGCTCATTCACCAGAAGCTCCACCACCAAGGTTGAAACTCCTCTCCAGGTATGAATTCTTCCGTTTTGTCACGATAGGCAGGTCGAATAGACCTCAATACTTTGAATAGCCAGGGGTCAGCATTTGCGGAAAAGGGTATAATGAGCACAGGCGCAGAGACGCCTGGCACCAACGAAACCTTTTTTCCTTTCCTTCGTCCCTCTCTTTCGAACACCAATATTTTGGATTGTTCAGTTGACGTTCGTGGTGTGTGGGTGGGTTACCGAGATCCGTGCCCCATCCAAGGGACCCATACGTGAACGGCTGGGATGGGAAAGCAAGAGAGAGCTGCTGGTCAATCGCATGTGACAGCTGTAAAGCAAGCAATACTGCCATTGAATAATTTCAGTCCGAGATCTCAAACTACAATTTAACGCAAAATAGCAGAAGAAAAAGAAAAGTAATCAACAAATCTTATAGAGTTGTTCGCTCAAGTTGGGATTGAGACTGGGCTATGAACAGGATCAGGATCTCTCTGTGGGCCGTCGGCCCATCGGTTCGGTTAGGCTATGCATCGTAGCATCCAGGACTTTACCCATTTTCGTAAGGCATTTCTTCCCTCCCCCACGACACAGACACAGACAAACGAATTGCAACCAACCACGTGGCTCTCTCGAGCTGCACAACTTAGACTCTATGCATCTCACACAAAAATTCAAGCTACTATCAGATAAACTCTTTATATACGACCTGGGCAACGCTGCCAGCATCAGCCAGCCCCGTAAGGGCCTTCTGGCCCACGGATCGATAGCTCAGTGGTAGAGGTTAGTGATCCATATGTCTTACCATCATTCTTCAACTCCATATACTAACAAGCCAAACAGCGAGAGATTGCAGATCTCTAGGTCGCGTGTTCGATCCACGCTCGGTCCTTTCTTTTTGCAACTTGCTCATCTAACAGTTATTTTGCTTCTTGGATAACTCACAGTATTAAATCAACTTCGGAACCGGGACATCGCCCAGCCACGACTTGTGGACTTTAACACACTTCTTCACCCCCACTCTCGTTTCACCATGTTCTCAGGTTTATCTCAAACATGACAAAACCTCGCTGAGAAAAACAATATCCTCGGCCGATGCCGCAGCTTTATGTATGACTGTCTTTCTGCATCAAAATACATACAGATCTTTATCTATCGAAGCGAATATAGACTATGTATTTCCCTAGACAACACATGCTTCCGAAAATTACATCACATGCCAGCCGATTTAGCGGGCCGTCAAATCGCTCCGAAGCCCACACACACACGCACACTCACACTGATACATTTCAGATACCCGCGCTAATCTAGCTGTGGACCTGGATTAATTACAGTAACCAGTTTTCGTTCCTGCATCTGCTCTATCTTAAACGTATTTATGCCTCAACAGCCTGAATAGCAACAAGCAGCTTATCAGGCACGCTCAAGAACGGGCAGTGGCCCGCCTCAACGGTAGCGGTTCGGGGCTCAGGGCCAAGCTGAAGAGCCATTTGCTGCTGTATGGGGTGAGGTAGGGCGTTGTCGTTTGAGCAGAAGATGTACTTGCAAGGGACCCCGTTTGCCCAAGGCTCATAATTCGAGGGAGTAGCGAAAAGCGCCGCCGAGGTGTGCGTCATCTCCTGGACCCATTTGGCTTGATCCTCCGCATTCAGGTCATTGAATGCCACCTGAGGCAGCATTTCGAGGTTACCAGAAACACGGTCGCCCTAAAAGATTTCACCGATTAACATAATAGGCTAGTATCATCGGCTTCGTAAATGACGAACTTGTATATCCATCCACGGCAGAGGTTGACCCCCCAGCATATCCATCAGGCTTTTGCCCTTGGGAATCATGAAAGCGGACAAGTAGATGATGCCGGTGACATCAAATCCAGGAACAGAGTTGCTTCCAACAACGCCACCAGAGGAATGACACAGAAGGACCACCTTCTTACCCTCGTTCGAGAGCTTGGTAAGGACAGCCTGAACCTCTGCAACATCCTCAGCTAGCCCAGCCAAAGGAAGCTCAGTGCCACCGACCGTTTTGAGAGGCACATACTCAGTGGGGTACCCAGCTTGGTTCAACTTTTCTTGGAACCCGTCCCAAGCGATGGGCTTTTGCCATGACCCAGGGACAATGACTACCAAAAGAAAATTATAAGACACCAGTTCTCTGACGAAAAGAGTAATGAAATCTGACGATGATGGGAACTCACCAATGGTTGGTTTGGCCTGAATACTCGACATACTGGTGGAGATGGCGGGTGATACACCTTGTAACTTCTGCAAGGGAAGAGGCTGTGGAGACGCAAGGAGAAGATGGGGCCCAAAAAGCAAATAGGCGCGAAGGAACAAATTAAGACTGGCTTATCCTAATATTCCTAACGCGTACAAAAGGGTAATAAGTGAGAAACAATCTACACATGAAAGACGGAGTTCTGCAACTTGTGTTTAAGTACTTGGAGAGGAGGGGAGGGGTGCATAATCTTCTTCTGTGTCAATGAAGCCACGATCTGGAGTTGGGCGGGGGCAAAACGGTGGGAGAGGGGGGCTGGAGGCTCAGGCAATCACAAGGCTAAAAACAACAAGGACTGAGAAATATGATCATGTTTAGTAAAGATTATGAGGCAAGGGGAACCACATGTCATCCCAACGCGGCCGGCAACTTTGCCATGGATAGGGAACTTGCGACAACGAAAACCAGGGGTCCTTCTTGTCATAACCAGTAACGAAACAAACATGTCTGCAGGGGCAAAGAACATGCCTAGGTAGTGGACGTAATTTTCCCGGGAACAAGAAGGCACTAGATCAGAGTTCGTACGTTTGAATGGAGTCTTGTGTAACTAGCAGGGCAGCAGGGCGATGTCATTACCCTATGAGGTTAACTGTGGACTACTTCGGGGATAAAGGCTGTTCCTGTTGAATGGGGAATGTAACGCTCAGGCGAACTTTTGGAACTACGTGCCGCATCGCTTAAGCAAACCCCCCCATGCATCAAGAGGGACCCTTGATGTATCACACAGTGGACTTCAACGGCTTGACGGCTGGAGAAATGCAACCGCAGTTCCCAATGAAATTCTTTTGCAGGAAAACTTGCTTCATTCAGCAAGTGTATCTCCATACCTACGTAGAATCATCCCACCTACAGCCAGGGTATCCCCCTCATCAATCCCTGGTCACTCTCCAGTTGTTGATCCCGATCTGCGGGTTTTCAGGAGTGTCAAATTTGACCTGCGCGTATCAAATCTATCTTTGAGAGAATCCTTGCGGAGAGATTCTGCCGATATCTTGCTCAAGTTCCCAGTAATATATGCTGTCCCTTCACCCACCATGCCTATGCGAATCCGAAAAAAAAAACCGTCCACTCCCCATGTCTCTTTACCTCTTTTACAATTCATCACGACGACGGCCCTGAGCTCTTCTTTTTGAGCTCTTTTGAGCGGGGGCGAACATGGCATCGATCCGGAGAGAGTACGATGAGGCGGCCGCAAAGGCTGCCTACATAGACGAACTGCACAAGCAAGCTAAGCTGCAGGACCTGACCCAGGACTTGACGAATCCAACAAGGAATCTAAGCATTGCGTTTACCGTGATCGGTGTATTTTTCGTCGGCCTACGGTTTTTGGCCCGCAAGCGGCAGGGTGTTCATATTGGTTATGATGACTATCTAATGATTTTTGCCATGATTTTACTGCTTGGCAATTTCATTTTCAACATGATTTGTAAGTCTTTGTACTTCATCCAAAAGCCTTTTTCAGTCGATAATCATCTAACATATGGTTTAAGTATTGAAACAAGGCGTCGGAAAACACTCTGGTGCATTGACAGTAGACGAGCTCGCAACGCTGAACAAGGTAGATAGTTATAACAAACTGCGATGAGAGAATTCAGAAGAAAACGAACAGTCTGCTAACATTAGACTTTCTAGACCCTAGTCGGTGCAGAAATTGTTTACGTCACGGCCGTCAACGTGTATAAGATCTCGCTCCTCTTCCTCTACAACCGCATCTTTCCTCTTCGAAGCATACGACTCGGTAGCTACATTTGCGGAGGCCTTTCTACCGCATGGAACCTGGCTTGCATCTTCGCTGCTACATTCCAATGCAATCCTCGGGCGAAGATATGGGAGCCCTGGCGGGATGGATTCTGCATCGACCTGTTCCTAACACAACTTTGCATTTCTATTCCTACGATAATGTGTGACGTTGCGATTCTTGCGTTGCCGATACCCCATGTTTGGAAGCTGCAAACAAATAGAACACAGCGTATCCTTATCACCGGCATCTTTCTGCTAGGGTCATATGTCGTTTTCACCAGCTGTTACAGATTCTACGTTTACTTGCATTACAGCAAGTCTGACATACCATGTATGGGCAACTAAACCTACCAGCCAGTGCCACGAAGAATCTCTTGCTAATATTCTATACTAGATACTCTAGCAATGCCCATCGCTTGGAACATCATTGAAGTATCCAGTGGAATTGTCTCAGCGTGTCTGCCAACCCTCGGCCCATTGGTCCGCCTCGTTTTCACCTCTCTATATCCGTCCTCGATGCAACAAAGCCACGGCCACGGATACTCAAAGACGACCTCCAACGGGCTCCAAACGATCGGCGGTACGGGACAACCGTCTACTCGCTCTGGTGGGTGGAACAATATCCAAAGTGGCCATATGAACGACAGTGGTGAATTGGGAGTTTTAGGACCGTCAAAGCCTGTCAGTGGCGTAAATGTTACGATATCTTACAACAGAGATAAGAGTGGTGACGATTCAAGTAACGACGAGATTCCTCTCACATCTGTTTCCCAACAGAAAAGGGGACAAAGTTCGGCAATGTCAAGTGGAAAAGTCAATAGAAACTATTAACGAAATAAGGCAAGAAGATAGAAGACTTGGAATAAAATTTCTGATTAAAGATGCTGTATAGAAGAGAAAAGTTGCCTTGAATCATTGGTACAATGAGTGGTAATGAAATATGGGCTTCGAGTATAAATATGCCATCCCGATGCCAGACATCGCTGCTATGATTCTTGAATATTCACGCTTGCTCTCCCATCTTATTTCAACTTGCGTATTGTCTTTCGATGTTTAATTTAATTTCCACTCAAGGACAGAATACTAGTCGCATACAATGTTTAACTTACAGATACCTTAACATAGAGTCGATCTGTATCTGGTAGGGGTTGCTCAGCCTCGTCCTCGGATGGTTTGCAGGTCAAAAGTTTTCTATTGTAGAACCCTCATTGTAAATTTCCTTTTAACAAACAAGTGGTATAAATATTAATTCCAAATACCAGGAAAAAACTAGTTTATACACGAATCCGTTCTTAACGATCAAAGAAGCCAAATTGTTGCTCGCTGCATATAGCTAGTCCACATGAGAGTTGGATGGAGCCCACAGTACTGCGATTTCACAAATGAAAAATATAGGTATATTAACCAAAGCCTCAAATGCGTTAGGAGAGAAACAAACTAAAACATTCATGCTGCTATGGCCTCCGTCACGTTAAAATAACATTCGTGACCATGTATGTCATCCTTCCACAGCTGATTCTTAGTGGATTTTTCGATTGAGAAACAGCTGCTAGAGAATGGCGTGATATTCAAATAGTTCAATATATAGGAAAACAATTGCTTGATTTTGGACGATCGAGGCAACCAATTCACTCAGTGAGGATTATCGATTTCGTTATGTGTAAACATATAATATTATGGTGAGGGCGGAAAAAGCGACCGGCCTACAGAAACCAACAACTACTTCCTCTCGATATGCAGACAGCTACGAGCAATGTCATGAATTTAAAGTCAAAAAACAACACGATACCACGAAAGGGAAGTTTTTGGAGCAAGATATTTCCAGTCAGGATTGAAAAAGAACTCGCTGAGGATGACAAGGTTCACCAAGCGATG